TTTGAAGACTTGTGTTGAACATCAACCATGCTGCTGTGTGTCAGAAATATTTACTCGTCAACATAGGCGTTGATCTCTGTTCGTTCTGTTGTGACTGATTTATTTTTTAATAAAATATATTCTGTACTACTCGAACAATCGATTTGATATAATAAATACCGATATCAATCGATATTTCCTCACATACTGCAAAATTATATTCCGGTCTTCTTTAGTAAAGCCTATTGAAATTGAATCGATCCTTTAGGTTAATTCCCATTTTTTGAGTTTTTATTTCAAATATTTATTTATTTTGAGAATTATTAAGTGATTTTTACTAATTCTAGCAATTTCTGGTGCATTCGGACTTTTATTTTCTATAATAAGGGTGTTTTTTGAATGTTAGGTGTACTGTACACATTTTTGCCAATTTTTATTGATTTTACAGATTTTTTCTGAATTTTTTATCTGTAAATGATTCTAACAGTGCTTAGTTTACACAATTCAACTTAATTAAAGAGCTTTTTTAAAAAATATTTTAAAAAAAATGCAGTGAAGTAAAAATTCACACAATGTTTTAATTATATGGCCACTTCAAAGTCGATGTATTTTCATAAAAACCGTTATTTATGGAAAAATTGCATGCAATAATTTTCTATTTTCACACTAAATCTCTCAAGTGCAGTATATCGAAGTGTTCTGAATTAAAAAAATTTCAAAAGTACTTCAAACGAATCGAGGGCTGATCAAAAAATGTTTACCACAGTAAATGTTTTAATTCTGTGACCACCACTGTATATGGCAGCTATATCTAAATTTGAACCGATTTTTTCAATAGTGTTCGTCCTTGGGCCAAAAAAAAGAGCTGTGCCAGATTCCATCCAATTCGAAACAAAAATGCGACCTTTACTTTGTTTACAATTTAACATGGACAGACGGACGGAAATGCATAAATCGACTCAGAAAGTGATTCTATGCATATTCTCAAAAGGAACCATGTGTTTATCTCGTTTCCGTTTGCCTGTTACAAACATATGCACAAAGACATAATACCCTGTACCACAGAGTGGTGAAGGGTATAAAATGCAAATATGGAAAATATTAAAAAATTATTAGAAAATGTTCTCTGAAAAAATTACGAAATTTGTTTTGAAACAAAATATAAAAAAATCAAAAGAATAAAAAATTAAAAAAAAAAATTTTTAAACATAGTTTTTATAAATCCACGCTTTTTTTTAAAAAAAATCCATTTTTTTAATTCCTCAACGTAATTTTTATAGCAATTTTCCAAGAAAATCTTTCCCAACCCTGATTAGCATGTATATTTCAAGCCTCCTCCATAATCACACCATGGAAAGCTACCCGAATTTTAATATATTTGTTTAGTGTGTTTGCCTATTCCGATAATAATTTCCTTACTTTGAGGCCAGACAAAAACAACAAAAGCACCAATCCCCTAAATTAAAATCGGACAGTCATTGTTGATATATATCTGTCATTTTGTCATTTTCGTCACCATCGTCGCACTTCACCTATCAAATGTCTCTCTATATGTATTAAATTACCCATAACAAATTGTATCAACAAAATAAAATAATTAAATGTTTAAATAATTTTAATAATTTTCAACAACAACAAAATAAAATAAAAAAATAAAAATTCGTGCGAAAAAATGTCAATTGACGGGTCTGGTGCCCTTCCTCCAAAATTTATAGTTCGTGTCAATATTTACCACAAGCAAATAACAAATAAACGAAAGAAAAAAATTCCTCTTTGACAAATATTTGTCAATCGTGAATGCCTATGAATGGAAGAATTTGATTAATTTATTGACAAATTTGTTAACACAAATTAGTGTTATAGTTTCGGAAAATGGTGGCCCAAAATGGCTTAATAAGTAATAAATATGCCAAAATTATGAACACCGAACTTATGGTGTAATTAGCATGTCGGCGACAATTATGATCCGACATGCGGACTATATTTGCGTAATAAAGTGAGGGCGATATATTTTTGGTACGGAAGCTATAAAGGTATATTTGTAAATGTCATAAGAAATCACCTAAGTCGATTTCAAAAAAAATTCTTTCAAAAATGCACGCCTTATATAGGTCCTTAAAAATATGGTTTAAAAATTCCACGTCTTATATATGTCCTTAAAAATATGGTTTAAAAATTCCTCGTCTTATATATGTCCTTAAAATATGGTTTAAAAATTCCTCGTCTTATATATGTCCTTAAAATATGGTTTAAAAATTCCACGCCTTATATAGGTCCTTAAAAATATGGTTTAAAAATTCCACGCCTTATATAGGTCCTTAAAAATATGGTTTAAAAATTCCACGCCTTATATAGGTCCTTAAAAATATGGTTTAAAAATTCCACGCCTTATATAGGTCCTTAAAAATATTCTTTAAAAAATCCACGCCTTATATAGGCACTTAAAAATATTCTTTAAAAAATCCACGCCTTATATAGGCACTTAAAAATATTCTTTAAAAAATCCACGCCTTATATAGGCACTTAAAAATATTCTTTAAAAAATCCACGCCTTATATAGGCACTTAAAAATATTCTTTAAAAAATCCACGCCTTATATAGGCACTTAAAAATATTCTTTAAAAAATCCACGCCTTATATAGGCACTTAAAAATATTCTTTAAAAAATCCACACCTTATATAGGCACTTAAAAATATTCTTTAAAAAATCCACGCCTTATATAGGCACTTAAAAATATTGTTTAAAAAATCCACGCCTTATGGTAGCCTTGGGAAAATATTGTTTAAAAAATCCACGCCTTATGGTAGCCTTGGGAAAATATTGTTTAAAAAATCCACGCCTTATGGTAGCCTTGGGAAAATATTGTTTAAAAAATCCACGCCTTATATAGGTGCTTAAAATATTCTTTAAAAAACCCACGCCTTATATAGGTGCTTAAAAATATTTTTTAAAAAATCTACGCCTTATGGTTGGTCCTTAAAAATATTCTTTAAAAAATCAACGTAGATTCTGTAGATTCTTAAACATACTCTTTAATAATCCACGCTTTATATAGGTCATTCAAAAATATTTGTTAAAAAAAAATCCTCGCCTCATGGTTGATTTTTGAAAAATATTCTTTCAAAATCCACTCAGTTTTCATTTCTTCTATTTTTTAATTATATTTCTTCAATTCCCTTCGGAAAAAATCTCTCCAATTACCTTTCAAATTTGTATTTCACAACGTATCATTTCAAAGCAAATAGAATTAGATTTCGTAATTTTTCCTCCATAATTGTGAAGATAATTGCCAGGTGTCATCATCATCCCCATGATCTTAATTTTATTTTTTATTGATTTAATTCCATTTAACCTAGATGATAATGGCCTTGTGACAAAAGCATGTCCGTAGATGACGAAGAGCATGTTCGTTTCTGTTCCACTTGGGTGGAATTTATCAACAAATCTAATAAATAAACCATAAAGCTCAACAAAAGGTATAAAATACCTGCAAATGAACTGTGGTTTTTTCTTTAATAAAATAAAAAATAATAATAATAAAATAGGTATTTATTTATTTTCTTACAGATTAATATACAAAAGAAGCGACGACCGAACCGGGCATGACCCAAACCAATGTACGATTGTGGGGTAAATGGAGAGTAGACATGCCGCAATAATATAATAACAATAACAACAATATAACAGCATCACACAGAGCAGGCCTCTCACTCCCTCTGCCACTCGGTCTCTAGGGCTCTGCAAACGAAACGAGCCGCCACGAACACACAACGATCATCATAATCATTTAACACCCATTTTTGCCACCCACCCACACAACAACAACACAATACATTTCCCTTAACCTGTTGAATGTAAATAACAATAATACTAACAAACAACAAAAACAACAATTACTACACTAGGCAGGCATACCAACAACAATTACTACACTAGGCATACCAACAACAACAAAAAAAGAAAGTAACATAAACGACTAGCATTAACGTGTCGTTAGTTGGGGGCGAGAGACGAACACGAGCAATTACATCGTCTCCACACACAGCACAGTACAGCACAATAATAACAGCAATACAATAACAGCAACACAATACACCATAACAGCAACGACGACGACGCTGATGATGGCTGTCGTTAACGTCGGCGTCAACGTAAGCGTTGGCAAAAATATAAAATAAAAACAAACATCTCCCCCCACCCTCTCTTTCACTGACGGCTACACTGCACTACAACAGCACTCTCATTGAACACAAACAAAATAGAGAGCCCCCACAACAGAGACGACCCCACAAAGATCACACGTTTGTTTTGTATTGTCTGTTTGCTCAACTTTGCTGTGTTGTGCTTATTGTCTCTACTATTATTGTTGTTGTGGTGGCTGCTGCCTGCCATGTCATGAGAGCAATGATGATAGCCTGAGTGTTGTTGTTGTTTTTTGATATGCCGACTCTCATAATAATATTATTTTGGCAAATGTGTTGTTATTTTATTTAAATCGCAGTTAAGTTACTCCGGTTTTATCAGAACCTATTCAACTGTTATACGACGACGAGCTAACTAAGTTCGCAAAGTCAGTCAGTCCGGTACGCCGATAACGTAAACCTGGAAAACAAATCGTCGTAATCGTTGTGCGTGTTGGTTGGTTTATCTGCTGACTGTTTAAACCAAAAAGTGTTTAGTTGCGCGACGGCAACGGCCAATAACGTACCGACATAAATCAAGTTCGCATCGCATAACTCAAATTAGGTTATTGTCAAAAAACAAGAAACCATCTCTTCGACAATAATCGGGAAAGAGTATAAAGTGAAAACGCAGCAAAAATTTTTGTGTGGCAAAGTGAAATATTTAAAAAAATAAAAATCCTCACACAATTGACACAAAAATGTTATAACAATAATTATTTTTTTAAAAATCCCAACCAACCACAAGAAACCTCAAAGAAACGTGAGCTCTGAGATTTCTTAATCCACCGGTCAAAAATATTTTTTTGAAATCGTGAAAAAAATTCAAACAGTATTATTAACATTTTGTAATATTTTTTTAATTTATATTAAATTAAAAAACCACACTCACCACAAAAATGACTTCCAAGGAACAAATTATGGCTGCCGAGGAGAAGGAAGTGGAGAAGCCAGCCGGTAAGTTTTGCGAACATTTTTTTTCGTTATCTAGATTTAAAAAGAAAATACTGGCTTGAGCCAGAGGGTAATAAATTTAAATGAGAAGAAAACATAGCTATGCAAAAACAAAAATAAAATTCAGTAATTTTTTAGACTCGAAGTCCTACTTGGGTCATAAAATATTTTCAGAATACAATTTTTAAAAATTAATAAATTTAATTTGCGTTTGCCCCAATTCAAAACAAAGCCCCAGATCATGCAATCAGCATGTCTAATGTCAACTTCCGTGTACTTGAACTGACATACACATAAACTTAAGGTATTTTTTTATTTTTAGAAAATTTCACTTACATGCCCGCCCGCGCTCCGTACATTGACATATAAAAATGTCACAATTATACGTTTTGAGAAATTTCACTTAAAAACGCCACGTTATTTTTTCAAAGTAATCACGCAAGCAAGCTGAAATATTTTTTTGAACTATAGTTTAAAAAATCATCAACAAATTATAGCTGTCAATGTTAACACGTATTATTTGACAGAATATTAGCAGTAATTTGGCAATAATTTGTAGGGATTGTTTGCTTAGAAGTTAGCTGAATAACATTTTTAATAGCTGAATATGGAAATAAAAAATTGAAATAAAATAGACAAAATATTTTTATTGTACATTTTAAAAAATGTTGCTTGCTGAATATAATAAAAATTAGCTGAATAGGGAATTTATCGGCATTTTTTAATATTAGAAACCATAAATAATTTTTAAATTGTCATAAAAACAAAAAATTTTAACTTTTTAAAAAATGTAGCTGAATAGAATTTTTAAAGCCTTTTTTGTTGCTGAATTGTTTGTGTTAAAAATTTTGTGGGGAAACAGCTGAATGAAAAAAAAAATGTAGCTGAATAGAATTTTTAAAGCCTTTTTTGTTGTTAATAAACACTGGCGAAGTATAATTGTTCATGTGAATTAAAAATTTTGCATTTTTGGGAAATTTTTTCTTTGCTGAATTGGGTATCATGCAGCTGAATTCAAATTGTAAACCTTTTTTGATATTAGAAACAATAAAAAAATTTTAAATTGCCAGAAAAACTAAAAAATGTCCATTTATAAATAACTTTTATTTTGCTGAATTGTGTAAAATGTAGCTGAATACAATTTGTAAAGCCTTTTTTGTTGTTAAGAAGCATTGACGAGTTATAATTTTTCATGTGAATTAAAATTTTTTGATTTTGTCGAAAAATGTTCTCTAAAATTTAGCTGAATTCAAATTTTAAAAGCTTTTTTGATATTAAGAAGCACCGACAAATTATAAATCCTCATGTGAATTTAAAATTTTGGATTTTTCGAAAACTATTGTCTGCTGAATTGGGTAAAATGTAGCTGTATTCAAATTTTAAAGTTCAGATGGAACGACAGGCTATAATTGTTCACGTGAATTTACAATTTTTTAATTTTTTCAACAAATTTTCATTGCTGAATTAGGTAAAATGTAGCTGTATAAGAATTATATTGCATTTATGATACTAAGAGGCCTTAGTAAGTTATAATTGGTTAGCTAAATTAAAAATTTTGAATTATTTCAACAATTTTTCTCAGCTGAATTGTGTAAAATGTAGCTGAATAAAAATTTTAAGGTAATTGTTGATGCTAGGAAGCTTTAGCAAGTTATAATTGTTTAGCTGAATTTCACATTTTGCATCTTTTCAACATATTTCCCTTGCTGAATTGAGTAAAATGAGCTGAATAAGAATTTTAAAGCATTTTTTTGATAAAATCATTGGCAATTCACAATTCCTTTGCTGAATTAAAAATTTCTCATAATATCAACAAATTTTCTTTGCTGAATTATTTTAGAGTGCAAAAATTAAAAATAATTGCAATGTGGAATTGTGTGAAAATATATGAGAATTTTAAGGCTATTTTTTGCAAAAGGTTTTCCTAGCTGAATTAGGTAAAAAGTAGCTGAATAAATATTTTAAACAGTTTTTGGTTGTTAGAAGTTGTTATTGACAACTTATAATTGGTTAGCTGAATTTAAAATTTCGCAATATTTCAACAATTTTGCTTTGCTGAATTGGTTAAAATATAGCTGAATGGAAAAATTAAAGCTTAATGAACTATAAAAAATGGGTAAAAAATTATAATTGGCCAAATAAATTAAAACCTTTTATTTTATTCACAATTTTGCTTGCTGAATTAAGCAATCCGTAGTTGAATTAAGCAATCCGTTTCATTGATTGTTATATGGCATTAATGTGTCTTATTATGATCTTTAAAATTTATATTTGGCGTTTTTATAAAACAAAACTTAGCTGAATTGTGTGAAAAGTGACTGAATATGAATTTTAAGACTTTTTTGTTTACAAGAAAGCAATGACAAGTTAAAACTGGCATGCTGAATTGAAACATTTCCAATTTTGAAAACATTTTACTTTGCTGAATTGTTTTAAATGTAGCTGAATACCAATTTTAATGTTTTTATGGATATTAGAATACAATAAAAACACTTATTTGATATGCTGAATTGTAAACTTCGCAATCTTACTTTACTTTTACTTTGCTGAATTGGTTTAAATCTTGCTGAATATAACTTTTAATTTTACATTATTTGAAATAAAATTTTACTTTGAAATGAAATACTTTGCTGAATTGCCTAAAAATTAGCTGAATAGAAAATGTAAAGCTTCTTTGGATATTAGAAAGCAATAATATGTTATATTATGCACGCTGAATTTTATATTTCGTTTAATAACCACTATTTTACAGAGTTTTTCTTAGCTGAATTGAACAACATTTAGCTGAATAAAGAATTTTAATAATTTTTTTATATTAGAATGGATTAATGTGTTATAATTTGAATGCTAAATATCATATTTTGCATTAATTTTAAAATTTTGCTTTGCTGAATTGTGTAAAAATTAGCTGAATTACATATTTTTAAGTTTTAAGTGCTTTATTTTGTATTTTTATTTGTAATAGTATTATTTGCATTAGTATTATCACGCCTAATTTAATATTTCGCTGAATAACAATTCTTTCTCAGAGTTCTTCTTAGCTGAATTGAACAAAAATTAGCTGAATAAAGAATTTTAACAATTTTTTGTTATTAGAAAGCTTTTATGTGTCATAATTTAAACGGTTAATTTTAAATTTTGCTTTTATTACAAAAATTTGCATTGCTGAATTGTATAAAAATTAGCTGAATTGTTTATTTTTAAGTTGTTAGTGCTTTATTTTATTTTTTTTTTTTTTTTTTGTAATTCAATAGTATTATCTTAACTGAATTGTGTAATTTTCCAAAAAAACCTGTCATATTTCTTCCATCCAAATTGATTATATTCAGCACAATTTTTCGTTTTATGGCATTATTTATTATTACGATTGCAACATCTTGGAAATATTGTATTGTATTTCCTGAATACTACAATGGTATTCAGTTTACGTTTTTTTTTCTTCCAGATGATAATACAAAAGAATAATATCATCAACCTCAAGTCAATTATCACATACGGCAATATTGTGGGTTACCCAAGCTTGTTGTAATTTATTTGTTATTGTTGTTGTTGTTTTTTTCTGCTTGTTACTATGTATTTAAGCAATACCTTTTACGGCATCTTTTATTGGTCATTTTTTCCGCTAAATTACACTTAAATTTTATTAGCTCTCTGATAAATTCATTCTTACATTACTAAAAGAATGCGGAATTGCTTACAATTGTGGCTTTTTAAGTTTGAGATGCCGGACAATGTCAAACATTTACAGCAACAAAGAAAAGGGAACCCCCCACAAACTTACGAATGTACAAGCATTTAAGAAGATTACTTTTAAGCTAGCTGAATATCTCAACAACAACAACAGGGAGCAATTTACAAAAGTATGGCTTAATTATATGCACTCTGTTTGTGTGTGTGTTTTTATTTTTTCAAGTATAATTGTTGTTATTTATTTTATTTAATTCAGACATTAATGATGCTTTTGTCCAATTACAAACACACACACTCACACATACACATGATTATAATAATAAACAGAACAATTAGCTCAGGTGAGGGAAGAGCTTTCATTTTAGACTACAATTTGTTCGACTGTTGTTGCTTTAATGCAACAAAAATGTTTGCATACAATTTTTTTTTCATGTTTTTTTTTTTTTATTATTTTGTTTGCCATATCTTTATGCTAATTAACTTCGTGCATGTGCTAAAATATTTGAACGCAAAAATGCCATACATTTTTGTGTTGCTAAATTGACCTTAAATGTGTTGATATATAAATTAAAAATTTAATATAAATTATTGTTTCGTATAAAAAAATAAATATTTAGCTGAATTTAATTTCGCTTAGCTGAATTTAAATTTTAATTATATAAAAACACGTTTTGTAAAAAAAAATAATTTTTTGCACAAAAAAAACTTTGCTGAATTGTAAAAAAATTAGCTGAATTAAATTTCTAGAAGCTAAATATTAATTTTAATTGCTTGGCAAAATGTTTTCTAAACGAAAATACAAGAAAATTCACTTTTTCACAAAAATAATACTTTGCTGAATACTATAAAATGTAGCTGAATTGCACTTTTAAAAGCTGAATATCATTGTTGACTAATTAACAGCGCCTATTGTAACTTAAAAAAAAAACATGAAATACAATTACGTTTTGTAAGGAAAATTAAATTTTTGCACAAAAAAACTTTGCTGAATTGTAAAAAATTAGCTGAATTGAATTTTTAGAAGCTAAATATTAATTATAATTGCTTTGCAACATGTTTTCTAAACGAAAATACACTTTTTCACAAAAATAATACTTTGCTGAGTACTATAAAATGTAGCTGAATTGCACTTTGAATATCAATGTTGACTACTTAACAGTACCTATTGTGACTAAAAAAACATGAAATACAATTTTTTCACATAAAACTTCATTGCTGAATACTAGAAAATTTAGCTGAATTACATTTTTATTATCTGAATAGCAAGTTTTATTGCATATGAACATTTTTTTGTAAACAAAATTATATGAAAT